CAAACAAACGAAAAAAAACATTAGCAGAAAGTGGAAGAGGAAGACATGTTATAGGAATTTCTCCACCTTCTAGCTCTTCATTTGTAAACTTCCCCTCAAGTTCAGCGCCTTAATCTTATTAGATTTCATTGCCGCTGTTTATTGTGAAACACTCAACTGATCATTTAAAAATTTTTTAAAAGCTCTTACTGAAAATGAACTGAAAATGAACACAAGTTAAGTATAGAAACATGCTATTAAAATGCTATGCATGTACTTCTATGAGATTTGTCCGCTTTTGCACATAACTTTCTGATCTCCTTTTGCCAATATGGTGAGAGTGCATAAAATAAGATGTGTCTTTTTCATTTGATTTGTATGTGCAGTTACTCTGAGAGGTTACGTGGACTGTGGACCCACACAAACAAGTGATCGGTCTGGGCAGAACTGTGTGCTTACTTCTTCTTTTTCCGTTTTTAAAAGGCCACAAATTAAAGCATTTGCGTTAACTCTGAATGTCTCCATCAATCAGGGGGTTCAAATTAAAACTTTGAAGAGTCTTACAGAAGCTGCCTTCTAGCATGAAAATATTGGTATAAGCAGCTCAAAGCAAATATTATTAAGTAGGTCACATTGCCTTTGATGACCTGCATAATTTAACTGACCGTCTAGTTAATTCAATGGAGAAGAAACCCACCGTGACTCTAGCAGAAAGTCCAAGCTCTTGACTCAAGCAGCAGCAAAAGCAGCCTATTTGTCTAGTTTTCACACCCAAGGCGCTTTGTTGCCAAACCTCAGCTGTTCTCCCATCTGTGGCTGAGGCTGCAGCTGCACCGTCTCAGGATCAAGACATGGATGTAAGGACGCTGCAGGTTTGGAGGTGGCAGTGAGCTCCTGGCGTGCCACACAGCAGTGTTCAAAGCACGGGGTGACTGGGAAGTGCCCTGTCTCCTGAGTTCAGCTGCTACTACGGTGGAAGAGGAGCTGTTTTGTCCACGTCAGGTAAGGACTGAAGCACACAGGTTTTTATGCACTGGATCTGTCAGACTTAAACAGGAGGTGTCAGGTTCGGCACCGCTTTCCTGAAACACGGCCTTTGCCATGAGCAAATAACATATGTCTAAGCCTGCTGTCAGTTGCAATGAGCTAAAGCAGAAGCTCCTTGCCAGCTGATGGTATTTATTTTATTTTTGGCCAGAAAATATGACCATGAAACAGAGCAACTAAAGGCTTTGGTTTTATCCATACCTTTTTATTTATTTCTGTAGTCTGTAGTAAGGGACCATTGCTTTAAAATCCTTAGACATTTGGACATATTTTACAAGACAGTACAGTTTCTGAATGTCACACATTGATCACAGTTTCATACTACTACATGCATATAAAGACATTGATTTTTTTTTTTAAATAATTTGTTACGGAAACAACTGGAGAGGTCAATAAACTTCAACAAAGAAAGGCTAAATTAAAATTACAAAAAAATGTAAGACTCTAAGTACACTAGTATATGGCTAACATTGCTGTAATCACCCCCAAATGCCAGGGTATTGAAAATTGCTTAAATGGGGAGAAAACATCTACTGATGCATTGCCCCTTGGATTGATCCAATATAACCCAATGTAGAGATCATGCAATATGTGCAGAGTCTGCTGGGCTATCGGACAAAGGCATGAAGCATCGCCCTTCACGAGATACAAGCTGAATTGGTTTTCCCTTTGCGCAGGTTAAAAAAATAACCAAAGTGCAAGGTAATGGAGAAACCTGCCATATATTCTATCCTTTCTTAAGCTGGGTTACAATCGGTTTCAATTTCCAAATGCAAAAGCACTTCCATCCACATATACTAGGAGAGCCATGGGAAACTCACATTTTCCAGTTTTTACTTGTTAAGTATCACATTTTTCTTTTAAAGGAAACCCTCACAGCTTTCTTGTCACTTAATGCCTACAGATGTTCACCACAGCTCTTTGCGAATGGGGCTCACCGGCCTTGCTGGGCCGATGGCTAATGGACATCTGCAGGTCACACCGCTGGGATGGTATTTTTGGAGGAGGAAGGACTGAGGTTTTTCCCACAGCATACTGAACAGTGCCTCTTTAAGTGTTTTCTCCCCACTTAAGAACTGCTTCACTGGCCTGATTAAAAAGCAGGATTATTCTGCATTAAAAGTGGGGCTTTTTTTAATGCTAATCTAGTTAGCGAGTTTGGTACCATTTGGTAGCTGTGGCTGGCTTTCATGGCTTCAAAGTAATATGGAGATGCTGCTCCCAAAACACAGCAGTGGGGAATGGTTCAGTGCAAAAGCAATTTTGTGCACCAACCACCAGGAAGATGGAATGAATGGGGAAAATGTTCTCTGTCTTTGCCACAAGCCGACAAAATTGATATAAATGAAATAAAACCCAGTGGTCTCATGAGCCGAAGTACGGCTAATAGTACTTAGGAGCAGTGAGAAATAAAGAATAGGCAATTAGAGCAGAGAGCCTAAATGAAAAATGGAGCCCAGAGCAGAACTGATGCATCCTAAAATGGTCTTAATCGCAGATTACCAATAAGACTAACGGGTGTGACACCATCAAAGAGAACTGGTGGCCCAGCTGTTGGTAGTGCCTCCCCAGCATCAGCAAATCTTGGGACCAAGGGCTGGCAGGGTTGAACTGTGTGGCTGAACGTGTGGTCCCACTGCGGGAACAATCACTCATGCATCTGGAATGCCACTGGTGGCTTCAAGCCAGCGAAAAATGAGCAGACACAATATGATGCTCAATCAAGGCAAGGATGATAAGGAAGTGAACTGCTATCCTCTTTCATGAAGGATTACCTCCTTTCACATGCTTTTGATGAACTATTACTGCTTCCCACTCCCCAATGGTTTTCTCATAGGTGCTGCGGAGTGGCACCTCCATCCCTGAGGTCGTGCAGAGCCTTTAGTTTTCCATTAGCTCTTAAAGACTTGGGTCCACATTCTTTACCAGGCTAAATGGGCACAGCTCCATTGACTTCAATGGATCGTTACTTACAGCAGCAAAGAATTTGGCATTTCATGCAATTTAGGCTCCCTGGCTTCTCACAAGGCTCTAGTTTGGGTGGGTCTTTGTTCTGAGCCCAGCCTGATTATTATTTTTGAAGGTAGTGTAACTACAGTATTGAAAAGACCCCTTTAAAGTGTCGAATGTTAATCCTTGTTCAGTCCTACAGAATATCAACAGTATTATCTCTACTGAAAAAGAAAAATGAAGCTTTTTCTCCTAAGCCTCTAAGAAGAAGACTTGTGCGATGAAGCCAGAATAAAGCAAAACAAAATTCTGAGTAGTATTTACAGATATGAACAGTTGTGGCACCCTACCATTGGTGTCAAAGGACACTTATTTGTGGCTTAGGTAACACCAGCAACAAAGGGGAGACACATCTTGAATACAAACTTTTTTTTTTCCCTAAAGTTTCCGTTGTCTGGCCAAGACAAAGACTTAATGCGAGAGCCTAAATATGATCAGCATGGGGCACAAAACACATGCTAGAAAAGAAACATCTCTTCTTTGATGGGTTGGTTGGCATTTGGATCATTTGTCTTTTGATGTGGGAGGACTACCTGCAGGTTAAATTTAAGACTGGTATGAATAGAAGCTTTCTATAGACTTGCTGAATTTTCTCAGGCAAACTTACGGATATGGAAGGTGCCTTTTGAAGGGGCTTAATGCAATCTTTGGTGATGGAGATAGAGCTATTGCATTAGTTGCTTTCAAAAAAAAAAAAACCCACTAGTCCACTCACATATAACCTCATGTATAATCATGCATAATTACATGCAAACCTGTGTCTGCTGGTTATACTGTTCATTCAGCAGTTACCGATCCTTTTTGAAACATACAGTCATCTAAATGAAATCTGTTTCAGATTTACTGGCTAGCATGACGGGGCGCATATGAGAAAATCACACAAAGAGACTGCAGCTCTGTAAATGTGCGGTTGGGCTAACAAAGGAAATGGGAACCAAAGTTCCTTCTTTGGAAAGAAATTGTCACTGACCAGACTACTGGGCTGAATCAAAATAAAATATTTATGCAGAGCCATGGGAAAGTCGGAAACTCTTTCTCAGGTCTAACATGGGCAAAAGTCCTGCTAGACTTCAACAGACCATGAGATAATTTCAGGATCCCTGTTTATGTCGTGGCCTTTTTAGTCAATGTATGTGACATTATAGCTGTAGAGAAGCAAGCAAGATCATTAAGTAAGCAGGTATATGGATGGACTGTACCTTAGCCAAATCCAAATCAGGTCCCTTTCTGACTGTGCATATTCAGTATTTTATTACCTCATAATTTTTCCTCACCTTCTGATTTTTGTCTGGGACTGAAAGTAGAAATTCCAAAACCTAGTGAAAAATAAAAGTATTGACCCTTCCGTTTTAAGCCAGGAAAAACTCCCAGCAAGGTAGAGGCTTTGGAGGAAGCTTTACCTGAGCATCATCAGGTCGTTTCCTTGAAAGAAGAGCCTGAACTTTCAGTTTTGATGCTTATCCTAACTCCATCACAATCATTAGGGCAGTTAAATTCAAATTCCATCTCTTCTTTATGCTCTCAGTTTAATAGATGGAAACCTAGAACATCTCCACCGAAGTCCAGTGGCATTTGCTGACATTTGCACTGCCGTAACTGAGATCAGTCTGGCCCACTTCCGTGTTTCTCAGAAAGAACATCTTAGTTTCCATATCCAGTCCCTGGTTATTTGTAAGTACCACAAACAGGAAAATACAAAAACACGACAACATCGGACAAACTCAGTGACCTTTTGCAGACGCACTTCCAGGAGGGATGTTGCAGGTGTTTTCAGAACAGAAAAATAATGACAACAAAAAGATTAGGGGATCAGCTATGTAAATGAAGAACAAGAAAGCATCTAATATATTATTCTGTAATACAAAAAGAAGAAATCTGACTTGATTGCCCTATTATAAATTTGCTAAAAATACAGATATATATTTATATTTTTATATATATATAATTTTTTTTTAAATCTGAACAGAAAAATAGACTACTCTGGAATGCATGAAAGTCACATGACTTTTCCATACATCAGATACTTATAAAGCCAACACAATGGCAAACAGAAGGTACAGAGGTAACTAGAACATCTGTACTTTATTCAAGAACTATTTAAAGCCATATTCTCCCCAAGTGGGTCCTTCTAAAGCAATCTAAGGTAATACTTGCTCATTTCGAGTACTGTAAGCAGAATGACTGAGAAAACATGAGCGCTTTGCGGAAGAAGTTGGAGCTAATTTGGAGTCGCCTGGGAAGTCCACCTCCCCACGTTGCTCCAGGCCGAGCTGCACAGAGCAAAGTCCGTGCCGTACGGTCGCCATCGCTGTGCTACTTTATTCAGCAATTCTACTATTTGCTTTAAAAAGGAGCGTTAAAAACTATTGGAGATGGTGTTGGGTGGAGCTTACCAGCAGAGAGAGAACCTGGCTTTAGAAACCTTGTCTTTGTAATGAGTTTTAAATACCCTTGTTATTTACTATAAACTGTACCAGTCATAATTCTGTCAAGACATAAATATACAATAGGTACAAATATTAACAATACATTACAATTTTACAGAAGAGAATACTGTTTTCCTTAGAAATGTTTATCTTATTAGCTGCAAGGGAAGAAAAGGCTACAGTTTATCACAGCCATGGTTGCCAAAGAAACCAACCTCCTTGGATTTGTTTCTGTGTGACTTGCACAGACAAATATTCCCCGGCATTTGACACACGGTATGTTCAGAAAGAGAATGTGCGTTCCATTGGTTTTCTTTTCCTCTTTTTTTTTTTCTTCTTCCACCTTTATAGACTCTTGAACCTTTCAGAAAATGTGGATTTCACAGGAGACTCTCGTTTTTCCTTAAGTGTGCTTAGGTGAAGTTTCTAAGAAAAAGGCACTGAGAAATCTACTGCAATAAGTGACTGCTGTTTTCCTTTGTTCAAGGATAAAACTCAAAGGATCTTTGCCTCCCGGTTAAGAAAACTGCACCCATTCCTTCCGCATTATATATATATTTTATATATATATTTATATATGTATTAAAAATGAAGTTGATGGTGTAAAATACAAGCAAGAACAGACATCACATGTACATAGTCTTTTCAGAGATGATGTCTTCTGCAGCATTACGTGAATCTCTGTCAGCTTGCTTGGTACACGATACACAGACCTGAATGCCAAATATCAGTGACTGAATTGCACACTTTAGCTTGATGCAAGAGATATTGCATATTTTTCCCTTACTTTCATGAGTTTTGGGAAACCTATATCAAACTATAAAATGAAATTGTCTTCCTAGTATCTATAGGATTTGGTGAGCATTATGTTTTCAAAGCACTGCCTTTCCTTTTGTAATGAGTACAGATTTAGTCTACCATAACTTTATTTTTGAGTAGATTTCCCAGTGCTTACATTATATATATGTGTATTATGTACACACACACATATATAGATACGTACTTCATATTTAGACTTTATTTCGTTAAAATAAATTAAACATACTTCCTTTTTAACTGGGCACAAAATGAGAGCTACATCTTCATACACAAATAAGAAAGAAATGCTCTTCAAGCATATTATATGCTTCATTTTAAATTATTTGCTTTCTATAAGAAATCTATAGGACTTTGGCTATTCAGACTTAAAAGGTAGATTTTTAGTGATACTTTTGAATTTGGCTTTCAAAAGTGACTCAATAAAATGCTACTTTAAAGGTAGGACTAAATAGATGATATAAGGTGTGTGTCATAAAGTGATCACACAAGGCAGAGAGAGGGCCTTTGGTTACAAGGAGAGTTGCACCAGTTGATTATCAGTTAAAAAATGATAGAATTGTTGATCTATACATTTTTGTCAGTGCCATCTATAAACCAATTGGATGAAAGTGTGGTAAATACTACACTATATGGCTATATTTAAATGTATTCACTTCTGTGACATGTAAAATATGACTTTTTCTCCACATGAAAGCATCAGCTCTAAAAATATTCAACTTGGAAATCACTATTATTTACTTTATCAAAAAAAGGTTCCCTGATTTTTTTTTTTCCTTTTTACATTTGTGCTGATGGCAGACATGAATGATCACTGAAACATAGAGATTATGTTAAGACTGTTCTCTTTAAATTTCTCATTGCCGCTCTATGGCCTTGGAAATCATAGAATAAATCAGTAATTAAAGCTTATCTGCTGGAAAGTCACTTTACTTTTTCATAATGACTCAATCTTAACTAGTATCTCAGCAATACATCGGTTCCTCTAAGTACACTTGTATTTACTATGGCCAAATCCTAAAGTCCTTCACCAGGCAAAGAGCCCGTTCAGATGAACGGTGGTTTTGGCTGAGTGAAGACAGAGTAAAAACTGAGGAACCTCAGGAATTGGCCCTGCGTAAATACTCTGGAGAGTATAGTTTGCAAGCATAGCTACCTTTAACTTATTTCGAGTACCTCCCGTGTAACTCTTTGCATGACATGAGGTCTCTTTTGCTGTCAGTGGGCTAATTCGTGAGGTCATAGCTCAGTTCTTACTCGCTCCTTACCCAGGCTTTTGCCTTACTAGGAAGCAAGTACGACTTGCGAGGAAGTACCTCCATGGTCTATGTCCCACCACGAGGGGATCAGCTGAACAACCGCTGCGTAGACTGAGAGCAGAGTTAATCCCAATGTGTGTACAGTATTGTGCCGAGGAGAGACCTAACAAAGCTATAATCATAACCCAGAATAGTTTCTACAACATATATGTGCTTATTGCTTTTGTCCGTACATGCTGCATTCACTATTACAGATTACAGACTGTACAGCTTGGACGGACAGACATTTACATTCAGGACTAACCAACAGCTTTTTTTTCACAATAGAAAGGAACAAAATGTAGCGGACTCGAGTGGCTTACAGTCTTCCTCCGACGTGTGCGCATCCTCTGCCGAGTCCCGTTTATTAGCACGTTCCAAGACCTGTTGCATGCAAATAGTTACACGCCTCGGCAGGTACTCAGAAATAGGTTAGGAAACGCTTATTGACAGAGTTATTTACAATCGAGTTTTACAGTAGAAACAGATACAACATAAAATATTACCATCACAGTTATCACAGGACAGGTTGTGACTTGCTACGGGTGTGTAACAAATCACAGTCACGACAGGAGGCACAAATTAAAATAGTGCTTGTTTAAAGTGCTTGATTGTTACACTCTGCTATCCTACTCCAGCATTGCAACAACAACAACAAAAAGTCAACGTAAAGTGCTTTTCCCCCCCGTTATTAAAAAACCAAAGACAAATTATTTCCTACACAATTTGACATAACTTTATTGAAACAATAATATTTTAAAAACCTAGGCTGGTGGCTGCTATTCTGTTAGTTTAAAACGGTCAAATCTTTTTTTTTTTGTTGTTGTTTTGTTTAAAAATGACTGGATGTTATTAAAACATCAGGCCCGATTCTCCTGTCTCTTGCAGCCGCTTTGCGCTGGCACGACTCCGTTAGCTTTGCAGGAGTCAATCCTGCCCTGACATCCCTGCAAGAGAAGCACAACCAGGCCCGGGGCGGGTGACTAAAGAATCCCTCTTTTTGCATATTTATGTAACACTTGCATATCTTTCGCTGCACCACTCAGGGTGCAAAAAGCTTCAGACCGACTGATTCCTCTCCTACGCCGAGGGCGAGATGTTGGCTGACGCCTAAAGTCGGAGTGTGGGCGGGAAGGGGGGACCCCCTGGAGCTGTCCCGGCCCCAGGCACTGCACCGTAGGGGCCAGCCACAGCACAAGTGCTGCGCGAACCCAGCGCTGTCACTGCGCTTGGGACACCCTGGCCGGACAGGGCAGCGAGCCTCTCTCCTCGGTGCAGGAGGGCTGCGGCGGAGCAGAGGAGTAGGGCGAGAGCATGGGTTGTGCCCGGGAGAGGAGCTGAGCTCTCCTTCCAGGCCTGCTCCCCCTGGCCCCGGGAAGCAGCTCTGGCTGCGATGCCTCCGGAGATTCCTGCTTCTGCATGGCTCATTCCCACCTTCCCAGCGTGGGCTGTGCGTCCCCTTAGGGCCACGCTCTGGCCCTAGAGTAGCTACTGATTTTAGCAGAGGGTAAGTGCAAGTTTCACTACGTCCTAGGGGATGTTTGGAATTAGATACAAGTGGTGCAACTCACCCTGCTGATATTTCAAAAGAAAATGTCAGGTCCTACAGGATATTGTATTGTTAAATACACACAGAGCATTTTAATAATTGGTTTCTCTAGAGCACTATTTGTTTTAAATGGTTTTCACTTGGATTTTCCAATAATGCAAGTGTTCCCTGTTACCTCTAGACATAATATCCATCAGAGAAAGCTGTAGATGGGGAACAGCTGCCCTGAAGCAGTGAGCATTGTGTTTTTGATAGCTTTATACCAACCCCAGCAATTTATTCCAGAGTTCAAATCTGGCTGCCTTGGCATCCTTTATGGAACTAACGCAAATCGGATGTTAATATTTCCCAAAGGAGCTCTAGCGTTCAAGGGGATGGATGGATATTTGGTCACATTGGCTTCACTGGACAACATGAAAGGAGATCAATGTGCGATCATGATTTGCAATCCTTATTTTCTGACCGATGTTTGTAGCGCTTGAATTGGGTAACGTCTTTAGAGTTGATTCAGAGAAGGACATTGTCACAAACCCACACTGGACCTCCCCTCAGACTTTTAGAAACAGGTGGCTTGTTTCAGCCAAGTTCATGCCATGCAGAAGCTCTTTTTGTGTTGACTGTAAAGACATTCCTTTAAACTCCCAGTAAGTTCTTTCGAAGCATGTCTCAGATGCTTTGATCATGTGTGTTAGCATGTCCTCCGCCACCTGGTAATACATGGACTTCTGGCGAAATGTGATTTTCTAGTCTGACAGTCTCCTGATTGCCCTGGGTTCTTCCAGTGATACCTTCCATAGAGTAAATGCAGTTTTGCCCTATTAGCTTAGGAGAGGTGGGTAAAGCAGAAGCTTCTAGATGGTTCTTCTCTGTTCTATAAACATTGTCCTTTTGCTTTAGATAACCACTGTTTGTAACGTTGTACTTGGGACTCACATTTCCTGGGGGACATCCGGGAGGACTGGAATCATAAAGCAGCTGACCTTCGTCATCTGTGTCAGCATCTATATATTTATGTATACCGGCATCATGGAAGTTGAAAGCTATGGCTGTCTGCTTCTCTGGTGACTTTGGGGGCGTTCTAGCACTCGCGGTTGTGTAGATGGAGGTTTCCGGACTCATCAGAGATCTGTCAGAGAGTAAGGAGGTGTCTGTGGCAGCAGCAGCAGCTCCCCTGCTCTTGAGAGGGTCTGAATATATTCTCAGTACATTTGATGCTGGTACTAATGTGCTGGTGTCCTCTTCCATGAAGTTGACTTTCAGAGATCTTAGTTTTAAAGGGTTACTGGCCTTTATGGAGCTTTTGGGACTTTCTATGAAAAAAGCAGAACGGTGGCTGCCTTCAGAGCTTGGGTTTATTTCCACAAATCTGGCACCACTCCCCTCTGGCCTGCTCTGCTCCGGAATCACATTAATGCCACCTTTGCAGGGAATGGTAGCAAGTGGGCTGTGGGAAAACCTCCCAGAGTCAGGGAACTCTGCAGCACAGCTTATGAAGCTGTCGATACTTGACATGCTCCTCATGTCAATGATCCCATCAGCACGAGTGGTCAGCAAGGGCACCATAGGGCCGGGAAGGGTCTCCATTTCCAGCTCTTCCTTTTGCTTTCCAGGCTGACTCGACTCTTTTGTATTAAGGTTTGGCTGTGACTGAGTCTTTGCCATTTTGTTATACATGTCCTCTAGCTGTTGGACATTCAGGTGCTGGGGACTTGAAGAAGACCTGGCTTTTTCTGGAGATCCTTGTTCTTTAGTTTCAAAAGATTTACTAGAGCTAGTTTCAGAGAGTGTTCTCTTGGTCCATTTCCATTTGTTGGGAGATAAATGATTGTCCTGAACTTTATCCTTTTTTGCTATGCTTTCTCCGTTCTTTTCGACCACAATGTCCATGAGTTCTATACTACGGGCAAAAGCATCCTTCATGTTCATGGAGACGATACTGCCATTCCTTTTTGCTCTTTCAAGAGCTTCTCTGCGCTTAATGGCTTTCTCCTGCCTCTTCTGCTCTTTGTAGAACTCAGAGAAATTATTGACAATAATTGGGATAGGAAGAGCAATGACCAGCACTCCAGCGATGCAGCACAGTCCTCCTACTATTTTACCTAAAAGTGTTTTGGGGTAGATGTCTCCATAGCCTACTGTTGTCATGGTGATTGTTGCCCACCAGAAGGAAGCTGGGATGCTCTTGAATTTCGTATCATCCTCATCCTTTTCTGCAAAAAATACTAAACTGGAAAAGATCATAATGCCCATGGCCAAAAACAAGATGAGTAATCCAAGCTCATTATAACTCCTCCTCAATGTAAACCCCAAGGATTGTAAACCCGTTGAGTGCCGGGCGAGCTTTAGAATCCGGAGTATCCTCATAATCCGAAAGATTTGGACCACTCGTCGTACATTTTGGAACTGAAGTACACTTTTGTTGGATTCTGTGAGGAAGATAGTGACATAATACGGTAAGATAGCTAACAAATCAATAGCATTCAGTGGGCCTTTGAAAAACTTCCATTTCTTAGGCGAGGATAGGAACCGCAAGAGGTATTCCATTGTAAACCATGCAATGCACACCGCTTCCACATGGGCAAGTTGGGGGTTATCTGTGGTCTGCCCAAATTCATCCACGCCTTGTAGTTCAGGAAGTGTGTTAAGGGACAAGGCAATTGTAGATAGTACAATAAACATGATGGAAATGATTGCCAAAATCTGGAAAGGAAAAAGAAAGCAGTGAGTTCATCTGATAATATATTGCACTGTCACTGTCATTAACACGTGGCTGTACTTCCACTTAGACATTTCAAGACTAACTCTGCTCTTGGTTACACAGAGGTCAGATAACCAATGCATCCTGAAGGGATTCAATATTGGAAACTGTTTTAAAATATATCGATCAGAGGTATAGAGGAGGTAAAGCATCTGCTTCAACTCTTGCGTGTCCATCTCCCTGTATTCAAGGAACCTGTTCCAAGCAGCTGGGATTCCAGGAGGGCTGTGAAACAGTTGACTGCAGGAGCTTTTGATTAACTACTACTTAGGAGCCCAACAAAGCCCATCTGGACAACATTCTGAATGCAAGATTAATGCACAATGATGCCCTCCCCTTAATGTATGATTACATCTGTAATTATGAGTGCCTCTGGCTAATTATAGAGACGTGTATACGATTCTATCACAGAAGTGCACAAGTAATACATACATTTTGAATGACCAATCTCTAAGTTGAAATTTAACTGTTGTGAAGGATACTAAAACTTTTCGAAGTTTTCTAAAACATTTTGAATTCTGAGCTATTCTGTGTGTGACTGAGTAGCCATCCCAGCCCCTCACCACAAGAGCAAACTTATCCAGGCAAATCAAATCGTGCAATCCTGAGTCAGTCAAACAGTTCCTGGGTCACTGACTACATAGAGCCAAAAAAGAATACAATGCCAATTGTATTAGTGTATTTGCAGCTTCCAGATGGCGTAGGCAGGCTGTCCTTCCATACTTGTTGCATATAGACTTTTAATATTAAATAGATTCATTTCCTCTTTCCTTAAATACATTGTGTTTTAAAGTTGTTTTGGGGAGATTCTAGAGCTGACGGACAAGCTTAGGAACATTTTTTTCTGCTGGTGAATTCAATCTCTAACTCTTTAATAGGGTAGATATATACCTCGTTTCTTAGGTTACTGCCAAAGTACAGAAACAATTTCAAAATGCGTATATGTGACTAACGCTTTTATGTATTTATTGCCGTGTAAGCTGGCTCCTTATGCTGGTTTTTCTTCTGCTTGGAAGAAAAGCAACATAAAGTCAATAGAAATCTACATGTATGATGGCTAAATACACCATATTGAGCAATCAATTATGAAACCCATGACAGGACTTTCGCATCATGAATTGCGAATCTCACTAGCTCTCAGTCTGCTTCCTTCCTTGCCCATATAACTAGATTTTAGGTTTCCTCCCAATGACATCGCTTAGCCAGCCTCACTATGCCAGAATACAATTATCAGGATCTGGAGCACTGCAGAAAGAAACTCGCATAACTTCTCTTCAGCCAAGTCCAGCACAGATTTCCTATCTATCAGGAAATATCAGACTTCTGAATATTTCTCCCTAAGTGGACAATCACTAGAATGGAACAAGCTATGGAGGCCTTGCTGCTGTAGGAGAAATACTCAGGCCCAATACAATTTGGAAACACCACAGCCTTCTTCAGTAGAGCCTTGCCTCTTCTCCAAAGACTGAAAAGTAGAAGTGTTCAGCAAAGCTTAGAAGCTTCTCTTGAATTAAGTTAATATGCCAAGCCAAAGCTATGACCTTAAAAGAAAACTCAGCCCATATACCTTCAAAAAAAAAAAAAGTAATTTAATGTAAAAATTTCAATTTTGACATTTGATTTCAAAATTGTTTTAAAATTCACTTGCAGTTAAAGAAAAAAACCCCTTCCAAATCAATATATTAAAAACATTTTTCTTTTAACTTACTAAAAATGAACTACATAACTCTGATTCATTCTTGACACTGCAGACCTAGTAATTTAATCTGAAGAATGAAACTCAACTAGAAACAAAAATTAGCTTCATTAAACAGTCTGGTTTCAATGTTTAAGTGGGATTCAATGGAACAAACGAACAGAGTAAATAGCCTTCTATGCAATGCTCCAGCACTGAGATTTTTAGAATGTCACTACTTTCAGTTACTAGATTGTTACTAGGAAAAGAGCTGGGAAGATTCCTTTTCTTTTTTAAGCAGATTGCTTAAAAATAATTTTCTTGTTAGGAACAGAAACATGTACTCACTGAAGACAAGACTATCTATGGATAGGAAACAGATAACCTCAAATTGAACGTGAGTGAACTGAGTATTAGAAGTACAGTCATCAGAAGTACAGTCCAACTTATGAGCAATCAAAAGAAACAACCATTTAAGCCTATTCATGGCTTATGTAATCGTTTGGCTGAATGAAGACTCAGCCTCATTTGCTTGGCAAAGGACCAGAAAACGGACCCCTAGTGACAGAGGCACCAGGGCTGGGGAAGCACGTGTGAATGGCGAGGAGAGGAAGCAAGGGCTGTGGATCTGAGCAACCAGCAGCCTACTTGGCCCTGCATGGTGCTAATGAACCTTCTGCAGCCTCCTCACTGCCTGCCTTCTCCATAAATCTGCTGCTCAAATGCTAATGACCCCACTGACAGCTTGTGCAATGTTGCGACTTGCTGAGAGACTTCAACTTCTCAGCTGAATGAACTGCAGAAGCTGTAGGAAAGACTAAGGTGCAAAGAAATGTAGGAAGAGCCCTAAGATGGTGCAAAGAGGGGAGCAGAGAAGAGCACGTGAACTCCAGTTTCAAACTCATGTTAATAAAATGGAAGAAAAGTGCCTCATGCTGAAGCCGAGTGAAATTTAGATGTTAACTAGTTAAGCATGGATGTTTGTTTCTAAAGAAATTCTCTTGAAGACCAGATAAATACTGCTGAGAAACAGGGAGCCTGATTAACTTTCCTAGAAAAGGGAAAAAAGGCTCTTTTTGTGTTTTTGCTCTGATTTCTTTGTTTACTACTCAAGATTTCTGAAAGTGTTTAGGATGTTTTCAATGGTAATTTCTAATTGCTTGCTGGGTTTTATCTCTGCCCACTACCCACTGAAGAACTTATTTGTAGACTTAGATGTACCTAGTGTGTTTTATCTCCCTTACTTTCGATGTAAATGTTAACACTCTATCTTTATTCAGTGGATGGCATCTAGCAGCAGTAATTGGTGTCAAACCTTCTATTTCCTTTGATATACTTTCCTGCTTTGAAGATCAAGGCAATGCCAGATGAACATAAATTTGAGAACCAGGAGATCTGAGGGTAAAATTTGTTTTTAGTTTAGCAGATCTGGCCATGGAGTTAAGCAATAAACAACAAGAGACATTTATCATTCCTCCTGCAAGCGGCAGCAAGATGTCACCTGTGCTCCTAAGATACGGGTTTCCCCCTTGTTGATCTGCTGCAATCGTTTATCTTTAGGAAGCCTATCAAGCTATGAAAAAGTTCTAAACGTGGGTTGATGGTCCTCAGGTATTTGAAGCGCTTTGGAGTTGGAAACTACAAAAATGGGGAGGGGAAGCATCTCCAAAGGGGTTATAAAGGACCCTTCTCTTTCTCTAAAGGACACCTTGACCTGGTAGCATCCACCGTCTAACAAAAGCCACGAAAGGGGCAAATTCAATCCACCGGCTGCTGCTATCGACCATTAGCAGTGCCACATTCAGTGGCACAGGGCTCTATCCCAAAGCATTTATAACCGGATGGGGTATCAGGTTATAGAAATCACTGTCTGTCTAATAGGGTTTCCCATCACGGCCACACTGAATCTCTACTTTGGCAGCATTCGTAGTTTCAGAGCACAGTTTAAAACCTGATTGAGCGCTCAGATGGCAATGGGTGCCCCAGAAGGCAGCGGAGAAGGTGGAGTGAGTTTGGGAACTGCTGTTAAAAAGGCGAGACAGAAAGCTGAAGGAAAGACATTTCTACCACCAAGAATGCCTCTAGAGATGCTCTGTGCTGCAGACAGCCTTTTCACTCAGTTCCCAACTTTCTCTCTTTTCTTTCCAAGCTTCACTTCTCTATAATAGGAAAAGCCAATGGAACAAATTCTGGCTTGAGTAGGAATATGATCCCTCTGCAGTGAATGAGGTTCCAGCTGCTTAGGCAAGTGGTCACTTGAGAAGACTGTCTGTCATTCCTGCGCCAGAGCTCTAATCTAAAACCTTGCTGCTGGTCAGCTGCTTAAAACAGAAACAAGTGTGGGGAAACGGTCTCTTGCTATTGCATTAGTTTTCATGATTCTTTAAAAAACATGCAATATTGCCTTATGCTGATGAAAGGCTTTGGACTGGCAATCAAGGAGCCGAGCTTGAAAGCTCAAGCACAGGAAGGTGCCCAGAGTACAAGAACCAGAGATAGGAAAGTTAAGTGTCAAGGGCCTGTTAGATTTTGTGAGGTGCTGCTGAAATGTGCGTATTCCTACTTAGTATGGAGCTAAGGCTTATTAGCCTCACTGCTGGCTTACCAGGCATATGTTGATTTGCCATTTGGGGGTGGGTGGGGGCTGGGCCAGATGATTTGGTGCATGGGAAGGCACCTTCAGTATCACTGCAGCACATCCAGAACTTGAGTTGGATGCCCCAAGTCTGCAGTAGGTCCTGTGAAATGCATAGCTAGAAACAGTGGAAAAAACTTACAATCTAAATTTTGGAGGCATATGAAAAAGATTTGGAGGCAAAACAGGGTGAAATGACCGGCCCAAGGACGCCTGCCACATCAGTGGTGGAGGCAAGAAAGGAACCCATGTTCTTCTGACACCACGTGCCTGAGAGCTAATCTAGGTTGTCCTCGCACAGGCCAGGTCTTACTGGACAGGTGTCACCACAACATATATACTCCCTGAACTGTTTAAGACTAATCTTTCCCTGCATGATTTTCAGAGCACTTCCTCCAATAGACTGCATGAATAAAGCTGTATAGTTCCCCATTCTTTGTTTCCATGTGTGCTCTTAGATTTTTACCTATGGCACCACACCATAAATTGTGTAATTCCTTATCGAGTACTTTTCTAAACATCTTACAGAAGGTATTGAATGGGCTCCTAATGATAGTACTGGCTTATAGTGCAAGTCTCAGTATGTATAGGCAAGATTCCAAAAAAAACTTATCCTCCACTAAACTGACTGT